AAACATCCTGTGCACTAAGCTTTTTAGTATAAGCTTTTACGTATAAGATTTTTATAATAAATTCTCTACAAATATTTTTTTTACAATTAAATATAGCGTAATGCAGTTTCACATATCATCATTTTCTAGTTCATACGACTTATATAAAACAATTTTCATTTATAATTAATAATTTTAAAATGAATTATTGAATATGAATATTCAATGATATCAAATCGAAATTTGACATGATTCAAATTTTGACTAAATCAGTAATAAATTGAAATTTCATAATGATGTATTTAATTTTTTCTTTCATCTTAAATAATGCAAATATAATTTCGATAATTATTTTTTAAGTATTGAACTTAGTATTTAGTTTGAGAGTATTTATAGCATGTATATTTATAAAATTATTGAAAACATAATTAAATATTTCTAGTAAGTTATAAAATATTTCTGTTACTAATTATGTACAATTATATAACAGACTTATTTATTTTACTAAAACATAAAAAAAAGCTTTGTAAGAAATTGTTGGATATTAAAAAAAGCATATAATTATAAATAATATAAATAGTTTTTACTGTACTAAAGATATAAATATAATAAAAAAAATAAAGTATTAAGAATTAAAAGGCATAAAAACCAGCTGAACCAATATATTTTAAAAATACTAATGATTTACTTAACTCCACTCAATATTACTAAATAACAAAAATAAGTATATAATTTTAATTAAATTCATACGTGAAATATAAAATATCATTATATAATAGAACATGGAAAATCGTTTTTCTGAAAAATAACTTAATATGCTTGAATATCAAAATTATTTTTTCTACGAAAGTACTCGGTCATAAGACTCCGAGAAAATTATTAGGGAAGATCGGAAAATTTTTGCTTATCGCTCGTAAGCATTTTAAAATTTTTACCGTTTTTGAAAAATAAACTCTCGCTGACGCCAACATTTTACGACTTACAGTTTGAAATTATCTCTAGACCCGCCCAAAAAAAATTCTGAGATATCATAAAAAATTTAATTTAATCCGTTAATTTTTTGAGTTCACGCGCATATTTTTAAAAAGGGTATCCTCTCATCTTGAATATCAAGGCCCCATCATTGTAGTCTCCTTTCATGAGAAGAAATGACTTATTCATTTTAAAATGATTTTACTGTATGATTTTTTTTTGGTACTGTGATTTATTTTTCTAACCCTCACCTAACCTACTTTTTTTAACTATACATCATATGATCAGAACTATTATCTTATTAAAGATATTAGCCTCGAAAATTGGAAAAAATTTCACTTAGTCAATTAAAACGTTGTTTAACCAGCTTTCTCCATTTAAAATTATTCATTTCTATTTTTTAAATTATTTATTGTCAAATTAGGTTTCATATGATAAATGGTTTCAACTACAAAATTAAATAATTTTACTTTGTAATTTATTAACTATTTAACTTTATTTGTGTGTGTTACTATTAGTATAAATTATATTTTTTAATGTACCCATATGCTTCACTTTCAAGTTCTTTCAACATGTAATTCATAATGAAATTAACAACACTCAGCATTAAATTAAATTCATGTGAAATCAATATATGAATAATGCTTTTTTTCTTAAATATTTTCAAATATTGATTTATAAATACAATTTAAAAAAAATTGGCTTTTTTGTCTCCTCCATTAGCAAGGCAATTTTTCAAATTTCTCGAGCAACCACTGATTTTACCACTGAAAAATTGTCTTTCTTAATTTCACCCCATGTACAAAGAGAGGTAGAAGAATGAGGCTATAACTCTAGTATTATATTAACAAATTTTAAATCACAAGAAATAACACTATTAATATTTATTATTTTCAAAATTGTAATTTTTTATTTCTAATAACTTACATAGTTTTCTTTTACTTTTGATGCAATAGCAATGATAAATAATTATTTTACTCCACTGTCTTTAAATTAACTTACATTTTTACTGGTTTCTGTAATAGTTCTAGATTGTAAACTAAGACATATATTTAAAAATCCTCCAATATCATCTAAACCGATTTTGATAAAATAATTCGTGTTATTTCTCTCACTGCTAGTATGCATAATTAATTTATGTAAGTCACTACAATATACGGCCACTTATGAAGCAGCAATCTCGGTATCATTCCTTGAATTAACAAAATATCGTTTCTTAGCTTCAATAAAACCAGATAATATTTTTTTGTTTTATTGGAAATTATAGGGACAAGATTCTAATCGAACAACTTTCATTTCTTTCCGCAAACTTCCATCAATACCTACTGTGGTCTAATAACTTGAATTATACATATCTTGAATGTTTGTTATAGAATCAACAGATATTTTTAATTGATTAGAATTGCAATTTTTGTTAACATCGGTGTTGTTAAACGGAAATCCTTAATGGTTTACTATGATTTTAACTTAATGAAATATGTTTGTTATTAGTACTTACGATATTATTAGTCTTCATCGTAATTAATTTTTTCACAAGTGATGCTACATTGCGTTCATTTTTTTTTTTTGCTTTTATTAAAAACAATGCATTATAAAATTACATTTCAGGTTAATAAGATACATTTATGACTTAAACCTTTAGTCATTATACTTAAACATTTATTCATCTTTTTCAAATGGTATTTTTGGATTTATTCTTCAAATTATTATTTTTTTTACAAAAATATGGTACTTTATTCCTTAAAAGCTTATTAATAATATTCAAATAACTTTTGTGTGTATGATGTCGTCCTTATAATATTTTTAAACTTGGAGTAATCAGGTAGATTAAAATGACTCTTTTTATATTCAATGCTTTTGAATTTTCTTTTACATGTACTACATATAATACAAGGTAAAAAATTAGACATTTCTATTTCAATTAATAATTCAACTGTTTCTTTTAATGAGCCATTAATTTTGAAAAGATTTTGATTTTCACCCAAGCACATCAAGCGAATTCATTTATGGTTTCTTCGTACGATGCACAATGTTTCAATTTTTCTATTCTCATATTATACGAGAGTTGTAAATTTTAATTACAGTTTAAAAAAAACACGCAATATACACTCATGAACGTAGGAACCAAAAAACTATAAACAAATCTCATTTCGTATGTTAGGGTATATTTTAAAAGTTCTATAAATAGCATGAACTTATCAATGGTATTGTGTAAAAATTATTTGTTCGTTTTACGATACTATTATTTCTATTGAATCAATTGTAAACAATTAATCGTTTACGTGATGAAAATGTTGACCTTTCGACTTTAAAAAAAAAATTGCATATTGGGTAAGAATAAGTAATTAATAAGAATAATTTTTAATTATTTTTCAAAAACCGAGTACGGTTATCTCAACCTGTACGATCACATATACGTGAATACCTAAGCAGACTCAATGTTTTCATTTTTGTATAATCAATTTATTCTCATTTCCCTTGGTGGTTTCTTTTATATTACGACACTCTTATATAAAGTTATTAGTGCATTATTATAAACATTAAAAATTATGTGTATTATATTGTTTAATTTTTACATATGCTATATAATTTTAATTATTATAAGAATAGCGAAAGATCACAATTAAAATATAACGTATATATTATAACAATATTTAGCATGAAAAGATTTTGTTTTATTATGTTCTTTTTTAAACACATATTATACTTTTTGATATCGCAAACAAGGCACATGTTCACAAATATAAAAATTCTACAGATAATTTACTACTAAATATTAATATGGTATATTTATCTTAAAAATCTATTACATAAAATTAATTTTTTAATTATAATAATAATATTTTTGAATAAACTTTTTAAATATATGATTTTAAAATCTAATAATATTTTATTTTTTGTAAGGGTATATTTAAAAGTTTAGATATAATAAAATTTACTATGTGACTTTTTTTATTTGGTTTTAATTTCTAAAAATTAATTAGCCTATATTACATATTTATAGGGAGTATTATTTTACAAAATTGGACATTTAAAATTTAAATTTGAATTTACATTAATGCGTATTAAAATGTATATATAAAATAAAATTCATAAGTTTTAAACAAAACAAACAGTAATTTTTATAAAATTTTCAAATTGGAAAACTACTTTTAATTGAAAAACTGCTTTGAAATAGAATATATATTAATGTAATACTATATAAATAAAATTGATAGTTATACATTTTCTATAGTTATGTTTATTTTATAATAATTTTAAGTTTTAAATATAATGTTTAAAATGTTTTTACGAGTAAATAATTTGATGAACAAAAACTAATAAACTTAATATTTATTACAATTTTATAAGTTATATAAAAATATAATTTAAATATCCTTCAACTAAATATTAAAAATATATATATATATATTTATATTTATTTACCGTATTATAAAAAGAAATAATTATCTTACTTTTTCAATACTATTCTAAAAATACAAAGATAAAAAATAATGATCCATATTTTCGCATAAGTTCATTTTAAATCTTTCTTAGTTACCAATGAGTTATTTTATTTCTAATGGAATATTATTTGTTGATTTTAATAACTATTGTCGTTTTTGTGTTGAAACTAGATGAAGTAGAACAATGTTCAAGTTATCGAGAGAACTATAAAAATTACATAAAAACAATAGAAGGTCACATTCGTTTACATATTAGATCAAATGAAATGCAAAATCTGAAAATGAAACGAGATTCAAATTATAATGTTGATATAGAGGAAGCTTTCAAACAAAACGAGTCTATGCAAAATTTTAGAAGTAACTATTCTATTACAATTAGTTTACTCAATTTCAAGTACACTGAAATACTAAAAAAATTTCTCGATTTCATGCATATTATTATTGATAAATGCCAGCAATTTCGTTCTAGAAATTTGTCGGAAAACTTTATTTGTTGTGTAACATCATTCATAGAAGAAATGAAAAATTCAAAGATAATGTTTGAAAATCTTTACAATGCTATGAAGTTTTTGAGCTATTTAGATGTAAGATATGTGTTTAAANTCTTTACAATGCTATGAAGTTTTTGAGCTATTTAGATGTAAGGTATGTGTTTAAAGGATCCATTGTGCCAAATGTTATAATTGATGAAATTGACTTTTTTCAACAATATGTCTTACAACAAATAACAGAGACCAGCTCTTTTGACCTCAATAGCATACCAAAGCTTAAAGACTCTGAAACAAAATTTAAGAATTTGAATGAATTTTATACAGAAGCATTAGAAAAAGTAAATAATCTATTTCAAAATAGTAATATCATTGACACTTCTATTAATACTGACTTAACGATTGAACTTCAGGAATGTTCTAACGGAAACGACTCCTACTTAGTGTATTTAACATGTAGTAAACTTAATTTATTTTACATCGAAACCATAGAAATTTGGTACAAAAATCTTGGCTTTAAACAATTTCTCAACCCTAATACGCCTGAGTAAGATTGTCTATAATTAAATTATTTTTATTTTTTAATCTTACAATTGAATATAAGAAACTTTTTTTTTAATTTTTATTTTTTATATGAAAATTATAAATCCGTACTTTATAATATATATTAAAATAGTTGATTTTAATAATAATCTGTAATAATAATATTTTTGTAATTATTTATAATCATTTAAAGCGGTAATTTACATTTTTCTGTGTAATAAGTGTTAGAAGTAAATTTATCAAACAAATTAGCCAAAATCTATGAAAGAAATAATATTACAAAAACTACTTTCCCTAATTTAACTGTTTGATTTCTAAATTATTAAATTTTACAATGAAATTTCTATATTCTTAATCACATTTATAAGGTTTAATGAATGGAAATAAAACAATAACATACTAATAATGTATAAATGTATGTCATATATAATTTTACGTCATAATCATAACAATATTTTTTAATATAGATTCATACCTCCAATGAATTCAGCAGTTAATCAATATGACGGTATTAAAGTTCTAAATATTCTTCGTCAGGAAAATGGCTGGAAAACAATGAATCACATAAATATTATTTATAATGGTAAACAATATACCGTAGATTGTGTAATGAAAGACCCAATTGATCACATGAATTTTCAAATAAAAAAAGAGCATGTAACACAATTATTACGATGTAGGTATACAGAAATAATGAAAAACTACCATGTATTATTATCTGCTATATTGTTTCTATGCAATAAATATACAAGGTGCATTGATTATAATTGTATAATTAAATTATTTGACTCGTTCAACAAATCAATAAAAATGCTTGAAGGACTGAATAGAGTTTTAATTACTTTAAAGAAATATTCAATATGGAATTTATATTTATGCTCTCATTCGAGTTTACTGAAAATATTGAAATGGATTGAAGATTTTATTTATTTATCAAAGAATAATGAATTTTCAAATGTTAATTTTTATGATAATCAAGGACATAGGAAAATTGATAAAATTAATAAACTTTTGAAAATATTTCTAAATGTTCGAAAAAAATTTTATTTAGACTTAAATGGTGATATTGGTAAATTAAATATACGCTGTTCAATAAAAAACCCGTTTTATGATAAAAACAAAATAATAAACGAACTAAATTGTTCAGCAAGTACATCAAATAATCCATTTTCTTTACAGTCAACCGAAATATATATTAATGTCTGTAATTATTTTGACGATTTTTGTGAAAAAGTTTACAAATCATGTTATGAAAATTTGGGCTTCAGTAAAATTGACTGTCTCAACAACAATTAAGAAGATAGAATTCTAAAATTTATTATGGATTGGATGAAATTAATTATCCACTTTGTCTTTATCACAAAATAATCGCTAGGTATCAACAAGTTGAATTTAAAAATTTGATTCCATGAAACAATTTTTTTTTCTGTTATTTATTTATCATTATATCTTAAACATAAAATTTATAAATTATCTCTGAAACGTTTTTTTGTTAATTTACAGTCTTCATCAGCATCCTTGCTACAATTTAATATTTTAAGTATTTCAATAAAAAAATAATTAAAGTTATATAATTGGTATAACTAGAACCATTATAAATTTTTTTATTGAACTATAATAAAAAAAATAATTTGTTATTTATATTTCCGTAATAATTTGTAATAAATAAAAAGAAAAGGGCTAACAGCAACAGGGGGGTCGTAAATAGTTGATGAAAAGGATAAAGGGAGATTGGTTGGTTTTGTGAATGTAAAGGCGGTGGTAATTTAATATAGAGAAAAGTAAGAGTAGCTAGAGATACTGGGCATTGTCAATAAAATAATGAAATAGAAAGGGATCTCGGGGTATGTATGCCTACATAAACACGTCTGATATATATGAGTAAGATGAAATATTAACGAAAGATTACTATTTAGTCCCTGCACAAAAATGTATACACGAATTTTTGAGGAGTCACAAATATCATATTTCTTTATAAAAATATTTTAGTTAATTTTATTTCGACAACCTACCTCACTTTAATTGTTTATTATTAAAAATCCTTCGGTTAAGGTATTATTATAGATTAATTATATGAATGAATATTTTCATTTACCTCTAATTATCCTGATAGGAAATATATTCTGTTGTGATGAATCATGTGATTGATTTTACTGTTGACGATATGTATGTATGTGCGTTTATATACGCACTTGAAATTGCGCGACTCTTATAATTATACTATATCGCGTACAAGTATTTCTCTATTAAAACTCTATATTAAATCTACCCAAGTTAAAATCTAATTTATTATTCTTTTAGTATTTTATGTAAACTCTTTTTGTATATTTGTGTGGTATGTTATTTGGCCTTGTACATAATGTTTTATACTAACTCATTTGTAATCTAACAATTTGTAAGACCACTAAAGAAATTTAAAATAACATAACAGTCCTGTGAAATCAACTATTTCCAAGTGGTTTACGTCTTTTCAGTCATCCATAGAGTGATCTATGGTAGATACGAGCTCAATTTCGATTCTTTGCATAATACATTATACTATTGTCCAACACTCTGATGGCTAGCACTATGGCTGAGATCAGACTGGTTGGTTGACAAGTGGAGAGACACTTTTGAGAACGCTTATAATTAATTGAAATCTTGACTACGATATTATTATGCTAGTACTCTGACCAGCCAAATTATGGCGCTTTATTAAGAAGAACACAGAACACAATGCAATCTAATCATACATTTTTTAAAGTGTGTATGTATATAAAAATAAATAAAACAAATCCATAAATAAAACAATATCCATCATCCCAAAAATTTTTTGAAAATATTCTTGTTAAAAAATTATCTCCCTTATTCAAAAATATAATTATTAAAGAACAACGTGGCTTTTTTACGATAGATCTACTACTACCAATTTAATATTATTTCAAAATCACGTAATAGATGCATTTAGTAAAAACTACCTAGTTAATGTAATCTATACTGATTTTTCTAAGGCATTTGACAAAATAGACGACAACATTCTCGCAGCGAAATTGCACAACCTAGGCTTTCGAAATCCTTTTTATTCTTGGTTAGTCTCTTTTATTACTGATAGGAAACAATATATAAAAGTAAAAAATTTTGATTCACCACTAAACGATGCCAGTTATGGAATTGCATAGGGTTGTCACCTAGCTCCTCTTTTATTTAATATATATATATATATATATAAATAACATAAAAATTACTAACTTCCGCATACTTCTGTTTGCTAACGATTTAAAAATATTCCGAATAATTAAAACTCCTTATGATGCAAATGACCTTAATCTACTCAATAATGACGTATTCTTAATAAACTATACTTCAATACCGATAAATGTAAAATTATGACATACTCAAGAAAACGTGTAACTCAAACTTATAAGTATTACTTAAATGATACTGAATTGCCTAGAGTTTTTCATATCAAAGACCTTGGTGTTTGTTTTGACCCTTCCTTATTGTTCAATGATCATTATGCATACATCATAAACAAATCATCTTCTATGTTAGGTTTTGTGAGTAGAACTTGTTCTGATTTCAACAATACTATTACTATAAAATCTCTGTATTGTTCATTTATTAGTTCTATACTGGACTATAACTTTGTCATTTGGTCTCCTTGCATGTCTGGTTTCAGATTTTATATATTTTATATATTCAATATTTTGATATTGAAACGATTCAAATAGCTTCCTGAGGTTTCTAGCACCTAAATGCGGTGTCAATCGCATGCCCCTATTACTACGTTAATGTGCCATATAAACAAATTTAACATTGATTTGTTCATTTGTAACAATATATTCACTTTTAACGTATACCTCAAAAAAAAAGTATATATTAGTTAATAATTATTGTGCGTATTGTAATATTATTCTGTTCTACCAATTTATATTGTAATTTAAGTCAGACAACACATGTAAACTTTACTCTACAAACTAAATGGTCGTCTTCCTTATATATATTGGGCCTAGCCCGTTTAAATTTTCTATAAATACCAATATTTTTTGTGTGTTGGAATATTTGTATTACCAAAAGTGTTCGGCCGAAAATAAGATGTATAATATTTCTTTTAAGTCTGATCGACTTAAAATGGAATGTATAATAATGTAAATCTGATATAGAATTGTAACTAAGAGCGAACTATATGCTAACGCAGATTCCATGTGTGTGAACGTTAACTAGGAAATGCTCTTTTTGGGAAAAAATGACCTATTTATAACCTGCAAAACTGGGTTAGCGATCTCTGGTGAGATTTTTGAGATATTTTTTGTTGTATTTAATTGATCTTAATGATATTTCTAATCAAGAAGCTGTTACTAACTAAATGATGTACAATGAAAATGAAGAGAGACGTAATGATCATTATATACGGACACCAAGATCCTGCAAGAATAAATTAGCAACTTAGGTCATCATGCTATGAAAACCTTTTAGAAAGATTAAACAAGACTATTTTAGAATAGGGACATGGAATGCGAAGACGATGATTAAAACTGGAAGATGTACAAGAACAAACGAAGAAAGCAAAGCTACATATACTTGGTTTAAATGAAATAAGATGAACAGAAGAACAATTTTGGAATCAATCATAGTGGAAATGAGAAAAGAGGAACAAAAAGGAGTAGCAGTGATATTACGAGGAAATGGGAAAGACAATGTATTCAACTCATACCACCTAAATGACAGATTTCTGATGGTGAAAATAAAAGCAAAGATTACAAACATTTACATTATACAAATTATTCAAAAAGAATATAGATGAACTAGATATAGAAGAAAAATATCTGACATAGTATAAAGTTGAAAAATGAAATAGAACCTAGGTAGCCAAGGATGACTGGACAAATTCTTGAATTGATAGAAAGAAGGAACAAATTACAGAACAGAGATTACAATTTACATAAACAGGTAAAAAAACGAAGTGACAACAAAATGCCGTCTAGCAAAAGAATGTTGGCAAAATCAAAATATACAAGAAATAGGAAATGATATACTAAGCAACAATACAGGAATTTTTGTCATTTTTCTCACTTTTTTTTCTTAAAACTTAAAATATATACTATAAAATGAAAAAAAAAATTTGTCTCGACACCTTATCTTCTATGTGCAAATGGCTGCCGAAATTCAACAAAAAATGTAATGTTTGAGATAAAAAACACCTTCTATCAGCATGTTTTTTGTACTTAAAAATGCCATAACTTTTTCAAATATTAACAAATCAATGATTTTTATTATTAATGATAAGTGGGATGGAGCTAACTTTTGTTTCTACTCAGACTAGAATGGTAGCTAAATTTGAACCACCCAATATACTGAGAGCATTTAAACCTACTTTCATATTATTATTTTGTTATTTATATATATATATATTTATATACAAGAGGTTTCAGTAAAGCTATTATTATAATTATTAAATTCATTGTTTTTATTCATTAAATATTATCTTATAAAATTAACACCCAATTTTTGGACAATAATACATCATTACACTATAATATTGACATATCTGTGACAAATTATACTATTATTTATGTGAATTTATTTTAAAGTTCACATACATAATGTACTTTATTGTTTAATAGGTGATAATAATGATTACCCATTTTTAACAATACAGTATATAGTTTATTACTTAAAAAACCCAGCACAGTGGGGTTGTGGCATAGTTTGGTTCAGTATAGATTTAATCTGACAGTGATTAAAATCACTATCATAAGAAACGCTTCAATGCAAATCTGTAGATATTGTTTAATTCTAAGAAATTGGTGGATAATTAAAAAAACAACAACAACTATTTCCATAATTATATCCAGATTAGTATTCTTAGATTCAAAAATATAATATAAAATTATATATTATATAATTGTTATACTAAATTGTTTTCAAATTATTATTGATATTGATTTTTAATATGTTAAAAGTAATAATTTTTAACCGTCTTTATTTAGTCCTTTATAGTAAAAGTTTATAATAAAAAAAAAAATGAATTTATTACCATAACTTTTAGCTCAACTTACAAGTTTGAAATTGACATTATTAAATAGAAAAAAATGAAATTGTTAAGATTAATATGCAATCAGGAAATTTTATAATTACTATTTACAGTAAATTTATCAGAAAAGTTCGATTTTTTTTACATTTTTATCGTAATAGATCACTTAAATAAAAATCATAGTAATCATTTCTATTTAACTTTTGGTGTTTAAAAATATTCTACAATGGAAATATTTAGAATTTAATTAATTTTAAGGATTATATATCTAAAAAAAAAAATAAAAAAAAGTTGTTAAAAAGATTTACTCAATTGAGTGTATTATAAAATTTGATTATAATTGTAAAAATCTATCATTAAATTCAGGTATATAATTAAAATTATTTAACAATTAAAATTAGTTTAATATTTAACATTTTTATTTTATAAAAAAATAGTTACAGAAAACGGTTAATTAAAATTTTTATTGATAATAATACTTTAATGTTAATTTAGTTTATCATACTGGTTTTCATCAAACGTAAATACTGTTATGCAATATACAAATAAATAATAATTTTTCTGTAAAAATTAAAATGAAAAATGAGAAATTGTTCAAAGACAAGGTTTTTGTACCAAATTTCTATGGTTTCGTTGTAAAATGAATTAAGTTTACTACATGTTAAATAGACTAAGTAAGAATCGTGTCCGTTAGAACATTCCTGAAGTTCAATTGTTAAGTCAGTTTTTATAGAAGGTCAATGATATTACTATTTTTAAAGAGTTTGTTTACTTTTTCTAAAGCTTCTGTATAAAATTCATTCAAATTCTTAAATTTTGTTTCAGAGTCATTAAACTTTGGTATGCTATTAAGGTCAAAAGAGCTGGTCTCTGTTATTTGTTGTAAGACATATTGTTGAAAAAAGTCAATTTCATCAATTATAACATTTGTCACAATGGATCCAATAAACACATACCTTACATCTAAATAGCTCAAAAACTTCATAGCATTGTAAAGATTTTCAAACATTATCTTTGAATTTTTCATTTCTTCTATGAATGATGTTACACAACAAATAAAGTTTTCCGACAAATTTCTAGAACGAAATTGCTGACATTTATCAATAATAATATGCATGTAATCGAGAAATTTTTTTAGTATTTCAGTGTACTTGAAATTGAGTAAACTAATTGTAATAGAATATTTACTTTTAAAATTTTGCATAAACTCGTCTTGTTTGAAAGCTTCCTCTATATCAACATTATAATTTGAATCTCGTTTCATTTTCAGATTTTGCATTTCATTTGATCCAATATGTTTTCGAATATATATATATTATATATAATATAATATATATATAGCGCTGTATTTTGCAATTATAGTCATTGTTATTATAAATAAAAAATTTGAGGCTGAGGAATATAAATAAAAAGCACCTTGTCTTGTATTAGCATTTGTCATTTCATTTATGGATAAAGATTGGAGACTTTGAATTATTGTAATAAAATTTTCAGAAAATACTCTAATACTTTTATACTTTGAAGACCAACGTGTTTCACAAAATAGTGGTATGTTAGGTATTAGTTTTCTTCGAAGTTTACTTTCACGATAAAATTTAATAAATTCTTTAATTGTGCCTGTAGTATTACAAATAACCATAATTTTGTTTAAGTCATTAATAACTAAATTTAATCGATGATTAGCACAATGAAAAAATAAAGCTTTGGCATATCGGTCCCTAATTAGTTTAGCAACACCACTTTCTTTTCCAGCCATTGTAGCACAGCCATAATAACCTTGTCCACAAAGTTTAGTTAAATCAAGACCACAATTCACCATAAATGATAATATTTGAGTAGCAACCGATTCTGAATCTAATTTATTTAAGGGTAAGAAGCCTAGAAATTCTTCTCGTATTTTAAAAGGATTTGACTGTTTGTCTAAAAATCTAATTACAATTGTCAATTGTTCAACACCAGAAATATCTGCTGTTTCGTCGGCAATGATAGAAAACGCATTTGCGTCACTGGCTTCACACACTATGTTTTCTTTTAATATTTTACTACACAATGTTATTAGTTCATTTTGTGTTCTATGAGATGAATATTTAGCATTCCCTGCACAGCTTAAAAAATGATTTTTTAACATCTCATCGCCTGAATCAACACGAAAATGTAGAAGATCATGAAAATTACCTGAATCTGTTTTTTTCCCTCGCAAAGCAATGTCATGGTTCCACAAAACACAATGGTTGATACTATGGATTTAAATTTTTTTCTGTTGGTTTCTATTTCTTTTTGTAGTCCAATATTTACTTGTTCAATCACACTAATTTTTTTATCAGTCATAATATCCATAAAATCTTTAGCTCTAGACATTGATTTAGAATGCCATTTTGAAGATATATGTATTTTAGAAAAGTTATGAAAATCCTTGTACTTAGTAAACGGTTTTATTATAAATTTACCTTGTACACCTCTGTGAATAGATGGCTTAAACAGCACATATACTCTACAAAAAGCTCCTTTCACACCCTCGACTGCTGAATAAGTTAACCATGAACTGTTTTCGTGCAACCAATTGTTCCTAAATGCACGAGTATTTCCTGGTTTAAAATCACTTTTAAAGTTATAATTAGTGTTGGGTACCCAAGGATGACGCAAAAGTTTGAATTTCAAAGAATTGTCAATATTTTCTTGAATTAAATATTTTCCAATATCTTTTTCATCCGTTATCACATCACTAATAACATAACTTTTTGTATTTATAGCAACCGACATACTTTCAACTTCACACGATTCTGTATTATTTATTTCAATTACTGAAGTTGAGGGTTGATTATCAGAATCACAGAACTTAGGTTTTTTGAAAAAATTTCTGATGTCCATAATAGTATAATATTAGATAATCGACTATATAAATATAATTATGATTTATAAAAATAAAACTTACTCTAAAAATACTTATAAATGTATAGTATAGAACGTACTGTATTTAGGCAGCTTTGTTTGTGTGTTTCATTGAAGGAAGCGTGCTGATAAATAAAACTAGAATAGTCGATCGTCACTCGTCGTTCCATTATGGAATTTCCGTACAAATTGATATAAACCTCTAAAATATACTAGACAATAGCCGATAGTCATCGGTCGACAATAATGTAACGGCATATGACGATAAAACCCATTAAATCAATAAAAATAAATACATATAGAAATCCGGTTGGATTTTTTTGTTTTATATATAAAATTTTCAGATTATACAAATTTAAATCAGATTGGTTATAATTTTTAAAAATTTATTTCCAAAGTCCAGGGGGGGGCAAACGCCCCCTCTTGCCCCCCCCTGCGGGTGCCCATGATCCAATATAGCATGTTTGTTACTCTGAAAATTCGTTTTGTGCAAGATATTAATTATTTTTTTACTGCATTTTACCATTATTTATTATAATGGGACATAATAATTACTTTTGAAAATAATTTAGTATGATAATATTACAATTTTGTTTGAATAAATAAAAAATCCGCAGTATTTATGAACATCGTGTTAATATAATTATTTGTTTTATGTATTAATTTATAAATTTTAATAAATATGTTATAATAGATTTTTATTAATTAAAATCTAGCAGTTAATGCACTGAATATATTTTCTTAAAAGAATTCGATTTTGAACAATGTAATTTGCATAGAAAATATTAAATCTTTCTAAATACTTTATTTTTTATTTGCAGTGTAATAATTAAATTTTGAACTAAATTAAAATGATTTATAAAATTTGATATACTAAATTAAAAGAAGTTTCACAAAAACTGTTTACTAGATGATTTTACAAAAATTACATTATACACACACTTTTGCATATTGAACACCATAAATTATTGCTTTATTTATGTTTTAATCGTGTTAAATATATAGTCTATTTACCTTTTCGTGACTCAGTATAATTTAAAACTATAACCATAATAAAAATGTCGTTAATTCATTCTAATTATTCAATTATAAATACTCAATAGAAAAACATTACTATCATAATTAATGATTATTATTAATGATGTTGAAATATATAGTAGGTGATTAATTTACTTCTCTTATTCTTCTTTATAACTACTACATTTCTTCTATAATAAGCATTTTATTATACAGGCTGTGTTACATAACTTTTAGCTTCACATACATTTTATTATTTTATTTGATTTTCAACAAGTTACAGCGGTTTAAAGTTTAGAGTTTATCAGAAATAGGTACTTATTTTTAAAAGTTGGCATCATTATCATGTCACAATAAATGCAACTGGCTTATAGAAATACAATGAGTATTAAAAACTAGAAATATAACACTTCCCTGAAACCCTACTAAGTAAGAACATACACACACAGAAGGTTAAGTTAAATATTGACACAGTTATGCCGAGAATCTCCCTGACAATTCAGATTATTCATACTTAAATACTAATGTCCTACTTAACTAATTAATAAAATCAATGTTTCAAAATCATAAACAAAATAAATAAACTACATAACTGAACTGCCACATTAAAAAAAATTACACTAATTCACACTAAAAGGTAATTTGTGATAAATGAGTAATTTACAATATTTAATATTAAATGAGAAAAACTTACTCTAATACATTATTTTACTTGGAAGTTTTACAATCATTGGATAATTGTTATTCAATAACTAAATTTATATTTTAGAATTTTTAAAAGCGGATAATTTTAAGATGGCTTTATTCTGTTGTATTATCACACAAAAAACGTTTGGGTTTGCAAGGATGATATCAAAGGCATCTATTATGTTTGTACATTCTGTGTCATACATCTGAAATATAAAGTAATTTATAACAATACGTTTAAGATCCATTTTTGTTGTACTTTAGACTATTGTTGTTATTTTATTAAGAAACTGTAATAAAGTTATTATTAAATTTTTATATGTCAAAAATTCGATCCAGTTCTGTTTTTTTTTATAAAACATAAATAAAATTTTGAAATTAATACATTATTGTGTGATATTGGTCATGTTTCTTGGGACATTTTTAGCTATTCAGATAACATCTGCTACCGGCTGTTAAAGTAATTTTCAGCACGTGTAAGACCAGTTTACAGTTAAGGTCATGTTCATTGTCAAGTCAAAATAAAAGTGTTTAAACTAGGCGGAGTCGCATTTATATTTGACTTTTATACAAATTTGACAAACGATTCTATAGGAGTATTACATATTTTATTTTTATATTGTATTGTATACAGAGTGATCGAAATCTGGTAAGACACTTATTTTCTCAGAAACTATTGAGAATTTAAAATTTTTGTAAAAAGAAAAATTATTATGTTTATAAAGCTCTACAATAATATGACGTTAAATAAATATTTTTTTATCCCTTCAGAGATAAAATTATTTATTTATAATTTTTTTAAATGTGAATCACTATTTTTGATTTGATAATATGATAGAAAAAAAAAATTACAAACAATTTTATTCTTATAATTTTTTTTTAATCCGAACAACCGTTTACGTTTTATAATTGTTTAAAGATTTTGACTTTCAGAAAAAATATTGTCATTTATTACGTTTCATAATATCGGTGGTAGTGCAACCGGTATTTTTGTTAGATCCTTTAGTCGTACAAAACCATAGGCTTAGCTATTAATAATACACCGAAAGCCCGGTTTGAATCTATTATTGTTACCACTCATTTAGTGCGTATAAATTTTTATAGCTAATTTACCTGTCATAACTTGATCAATGAAATTTGGTTTATGCAACAAAAAATAAAAATAATGACTTCTGTATTTAATACAGTAAAATGACAATAGAAATTTGGCTTAAAATCTCTTAACTTTAACAAGCTGTAACGGACGAACGGTTAATCGGATAAAAAAAATTATTAGAACAAAATTGTTTGTACTTTTTTTTCTATCATATTATAAAGTTAAAAATAAGGGTTCTCATTTAAGAAAATTATAAATAAGGGTTTTTATCTTTGAAGGGATGAAAAAAATAATAGTTTGACTACATATTATTGTATAGTTTTTGAACTTAATATTTTTTCTCTATAATAAAATTTAAAATTCTTAATATTTTCTGAGAAATGAGTGTCTTACCAGATTTCGATCACCCTGTATATCTAGATTTCTTATAATTTTTTTCCATAAAAATACATTGTGTTAACCAATGAGTATACTTATGTTATTCTAAGTTTTCTTTCTGTTAATGCTTATGGTTAACTTTTAAAGTTATTTCTTTATTTTACAAAAAATATACATAGAGAAAATGTGTACATTTACAATTTAAATTGTAAATTACTACAATTTAGTGTTCCCTATGTTTTAATACACTTCCCCCCTAGATTCTTTATATTGGAGTAATAAAACTAGAAATCATATAACTTTAATCAACACATTTAGCGGATATGTTACTTTGTCGTTTATATTACAGTACAGATAACATGGTGCCGGTGTTCATCTATTTATGTGGGATGGATGTAATGAAACTTTGTATAGAAATTACCACCGTACAAGTGGTAAACGGGGCGTAAAAACCTGTGTCAGAATATTAATTTTGTTTGACTATTCAACCAAGCTCTGCATATCGCGTACAAATAGATTTAAAAACTTTACAGTTAATAATATTTTAATAATAATAATAACGTCTAGTTGGTAATAGAATAAACAATAAAGGAAGCCTATGGAATGGAATATAAAATAAAGTATTATTACCTACTAATATAATATAATTAATATAGCTAATATAATGAACTGTATGAAATTATATTTAATATTTCATATTGTTAATTAATCGGCAAATTCAACATAAATCAGCACCTGTCATCGGTGAGCAAGATGCGCAATATTAAATTTTATAGCAGTAGAATTTATATTTATTAAATTACTATTAGTTTTGTAAGCTAAAATTCTTAAAAAACGCCATTATAAACTTCTAATTTTATTGTTTAATCCAATTGATACGAAGACCAAAATGGATCTGTATTCAACTATAGATCTAATGAGTTAAAAATACAACAAATTTAAACAGAGATTAGAATTTCATGACAACTTTAGATGTATAAAGAAATTTTTGTAATTGCATTAAGAACTAAATATAATGTTAAGAAAATTAATTTACATTAAATTATATATTAATACATCGACGATGAAATCTATGCAAGTGTTATTAGAGATAAAAACAGTCATTAATAGTTTTAATTTTCATAAAAAATTTAACATCATCCACAAAAAGTAAATAACGAGTATGACGGAATACATTAACTAGGTCATTTATAAAAATAATAAACAACAAGGGTGACAAATGAATACCTTGTGGGACACCGGAAACAATATTAACCCTTAAACAGTTGCGTGGGGGTCTAGCAAACCCCCACATAAATAAAAATGGATGTATTATTATTGCATAAAAGGTGTACATAGATATAAATTTAGAAGATGGTTTTTATAGTAATATTTAATTGATTTTCATAAATAAATACCTTTGAAAAAAAAAATGTATGACTTAAAATATTCATCAAAATTTAAATGGGTCATATTTACTCCCACGCGACTTGTAACGTTATAATTTTTTTTGGACTTGTATTTTTTTCAAAATATCGTTTTATCGTAAATGCAATGTTATAATCCATATAATATTGTGGAATTGGAATTATGTAGATCTGCCACCGACTGTGCAATTAAGTTTTAAAAATAAATAATCTATTGAGAATTTCCACTACTCGATGATACGGAACAAATAAGAACAAAACATGTAATAAATACATCGCGTATATTA